GGAACCGCGCGGGGACCGCGCCTCCCTCCGGCTGCGTCCCAGCCCCGCGCCGCCGGCTCCTTTCGGTTTCTCCGCGCGCTCGCAGGGAGGGAGCGCGGGTGGGGGCGGCGGGGACACTTGTTGGGCGCAGACCGGCAGGACCCACGGAACTTCTCTGGAAAAGTTCGGCTTCGCCCCGGCCTGGCCGGCGCGCAGGTGTCTTTACCTGCGGTGACAGCCGCGCGGCGCCGGGCTGCGGACCGCCTCGGCGGTGGCTGCCGGCCGCCGCTGCCCGCGCTGCCTTCGAGCCCGGGCGTCCGCTGGCAGGAGAATGAATGGGTGGGTGCCCGCCCTGCTCGGGGCGGTGCCCCTCTGCGTGCCCCAGCGGTTGCAGCTGCGGGCGCCGCCTGTCCTGTGTGCTCGGAGACCGCCTCGGCGCGGGGGCTTCGGCTCTCGGTCACCGGCGCGCTGGTTTTGCTGCGCGCTCGCGGGGGGCGGGGTGGAGCCTCCGGTGCAGCGGCCTCTGCCCTCCATTCCTGCGAGGACCAGCTCTGGCTTTTTGCAGGCTAATTTTGTGCTTCCAGATGTTCTTACTTCGCTTCTAGAGCCCAGCCTTGGAGGGAGGTGTCTTTGCGGTTGCATAAACATTTTGCCCCGAGTTTTCCGTGCAAGTCAGACCAAACTGTATCTTTTGCAAACCGCGAGGCGGTGGGAAGCGCTCGCGGTGGGAGAAGGCGGAGGGTGCCGCCTGACCTCTCTCCCAGGCGCCTAAACGCGGAACGTTAGGAGCGGTTAGACCCAGATCAAGCAGAAGTTTGATTGTTCCTCCACTTTGCTTTCACTATAAATCATTGACCGACTTCACTGATTAAACTTATAGGTCTGAAATTAAAAGGAAGATCTTTGTCATTTGAGGGTATTGTTTAATACCTTGAAAAACTGATTTGCAGCTTGGCAGGTAGATACTAGAAATAGAAACATAAATTCCAAGTTGTGCATTTTACAATTTAAATTGGGAGAAGAATTTAGAGGAAGCAGATTTTTTTCAGGATGTATGTATCAATCTGATTTTTCTATTGAGATTTTGAAAAATAAAAGTTACGTACTTCGAGGTCCCATGGGATCTAAAACAAGTGGGGTTTTAAGTATTGTAATATCTAAAGTAGGGTACTTTAAATTATTCTGAATGTATATAATTGGCCTATTCTCTTTTTAAAATTTTCTTGTATTTCTTTTTTCTCTGCTTTTGAGCTGAGGGGAATATTGCTACTGTTAGGACTTAGATGCTGTCTGACCGTCACCCTTACCTGGGAAGCAACATTTTGCTATTGCAAAGTAACCAGACTGTCATCTTCAGGACAGAGTTCTCTAAGCCAGACTCACCTGGACGAATTCAGTCACCCAATAGGTTGACTTTCATGCTTCTTGCCCGTAGTGTCCTGCCAAGCCCAGCTGATCAATGTCTCTTCTGTTTATGGTCATATAAATGATGAGGACTTCTCAGCCACTGTATGCACGCCTAAAAGGGTGGAAATCAGAGCCTTAGGGTCTGAGATGGAACTGGAGACCGGGAGGCAAACATTTCAGAGCGCCCGAGGAGCTGGGTGGGACACCTCCGTGCTGCCCTGCTCCAAGTGGCTCAGGACTTGCATGAGTGCCCCGCCTAAGGCTTTCCCAACACTGCCTGACTGGGTTGTTTGAAGGATCAGGAGCTAACAGAGCAGATAAGAAGGAGGAGGAGCTCGGGGTCCTCCTCTAAGGCTTAGGCGATAATTGTGCTGCTGTTTTTCCCAGATGATCAGACAGGAGACTGGGACACTGGGGGCTCGGGCGGGATGGGAGGGGACAGAGGGTGTCCGTGCCCAGCCACACAAGCGTCTGGCCAGGGCTACCCCCAGGACGGAGAGGCACCTTGCTGCCTCTGCCACGTTTCCAGTGGCTTCTTAGACAAATGTCAGAGTTTGCTCTTTTCTTTGTCGTTTCTGAAATGTCTCTTTCGTGGTGTGCGGAAACATCGTTAGGGTAAGATGACCCGCGCTGCCTCGGGGGCTGCTGTTACTAGGTCTTAGCAGAGTGCGAGCTCTCCGCCGAGCCAGGCCGCGGAAAGCGGTTTCACAGCATTGAGAGTGTCGGGGACAGAGCTCAGTGCTGCAGCTGGGAGGCCAGGACACCAAGCGGTGACAGGGACGTTCTGTGGCGTGGCCAGGTCGCTAGATACACACACCTGGGCTAACATCACTGAGCCCGGGGGCTCTGCAGTCCCACCGCACGGGGCAGCCGCAGCGTCAGTCATTGCTACAGTGGTTGAGGTCATTTTTGCGATAAATGGGCTCTCCTCATGCTTGGGAGTTGAAATCCTATCTCTCCTCCAAGTAGTTTCTGAATTCTAATTAACTGTGTTTTCAAGTAAGTCACAGGAAGAAAATATCCATTGGTTTGCTTCACTGAAATCATCTTTCAGAATAGGGTGCTTGCCAGAACAAAAACAAACAACAGAAAGAGTTCAGTTGTCTTTAGTCCTTTGTCTTAGGCTGTCCCCAGTTAAGTGGAGAAGTAAGTGGTTTTCATTTTTCAGATATGCCAGAGTCGAGGGGTATTTGTGCTTTGTGGCTTATTTCCTGTACCCCAGGGCTTGTTTGGGGGGACACTGGTCACCTTTGGGGAGACAGCTTGGTTCTTACCCACCTTCCACAGGGCAGCGTATTTGGGGTAGTAATGGTGATATGATCAAAATTAGTTCAGGTCCAAAAATGTTGTAAGAGTTTCCTTTTCTCTAAAAGGGCTCTTTTTCTGTCTTTTTTTACTAGCGCTTGTTGCAGTACTGATGATCACACGCCTCTCGGGAAGTTTGCGCGTGCGCACATGACTCCGTCCCCGTTCCTTCTGCGTCTCCTCCCCGCCCCCCGACCTCCTCCTCACCTTCCCATGTGCAGAAGGTCTGTGATGTTTCTTTTGTTGAAACTGTGTCCAAGTGGCACTTCGGTCTAAAACGCCCCATCGAGGGAAGGCGGAACACCGCCCTGTATCCGGGCGAGCCCTGGTTCTGTCCCCAGCACAGGGGGTCGAGGACAGGTCCCCATCTTCTCACGTGTCTGGGTTCATCCTCCATCTCGTCTCACCAGACCCCAGCCCGCTCTTGGAGATCGGCCTTGCTGTTGCTGCACCTCCACCTGAGGCCCCGGGTCTGGCTGGAGAGGGTGGCCGAGGAGACCGTTCGGGTCCCCTGAGCTTCAGGGAGTGGAAGATCTGCACAGTGATGGGAGTTGTGGGTGTAATGCGTGAATCACTGTTCTGTTTATTCTTATTTCCCTTTAAAAACTATTTAAATGGGCATTGTTAATTCTTAAAAAACTCAGCTACAGACCATTACGTATTCAAAGAAAAATGGGATTTATTTTGAAACAAACAATTTTAAATGTCATTCCTTTACTTCAGTGGGGGACTTTATAAATATTTGCATTTAGGGTAAAAGCTGCATCCCAGCCAGCTGGGTCTGGGTAAGGAACAGTGTCTGTACTGCCCAATAGCAGGAGAGATACAGAGCTCGGAAAGACATCTTTGTTTGGTTTTTTGCTTTTTTGAGACAGGGTCTTACCATGCAGTCCAGGCTGTGCTTGAACTCACTCTGTGGCCAAGGCTGGCCTCAAGCTTGCAGTGATCCTCCTGCCTCAGCCTCTGTAGTGCTGGGGTGACAGGCGTGGACTCTAAGAAAGCTGTCGTATCCTTCCTTTCCTGAGCATGTTAGGTAGCCTCTTCAGCTTGGCTTCCTTGTTGGGGACGGCATGTCTGGAGGTATAAGGTACGGCAGATACTTGCCATAGTTCTGCGAATTAAAACATATCGAGCTCCTTTGAAAGGGATGGAGCCTCCGTATCTTCCCTCCACCTCTTTACTAGTCACTTAAGGCTCCCAGACTTGCCCACGAGGAAAGGATTGCAGAGATTTCATGGAATTAGAGCTCCATGCGAGCCCTGCAGTAGTCACAGGCATGGGAAGGATGAAGGTGCAACAAATAAAGGAAAGATAGAATAAAGATATTTGCTCAGTCTTATAAAACATTCAAAAATGTAACCTGAGGAACAGAAACGATTGGTTACTTGAACTTTGTTACACAAAGAAAGGAAACCCACAGCTTAGCAAAACTTAGTGTTTGAGTTTTGACTACGGCAAACCTTGCTGTTTAGATTAGCGTGTGTATTGTTAGGACTTCAGCTCAGCAAAATCCATCTTTGGTATTGCAGGTGTACATAAATGCGTTTCCTGTGGTTCTTATTAGGTGCCAGCTAACTGTACTATTGAGTGGTGAAAAATATTTATCATGTAATAATATTTTTTCTCTTTTGGAGAAAAATTGAGCTATTTCCTTTCATTGGGTGATAAGACCTTAAAGTGTGTGTGGTACCCAAATGCTTCTGCTTTAGCAAGCAAATGTTCATCATTTGTTAAAAACAATTACTGTGTTGTTGTCTGCCTAATGTAGATTGTATTTAAAATTGATTTTGTCTGCATTGTCCAATACTACTTAAATCAAATTCACAACGTGGATGAACTCAGGTCTTATGTCCTCATCTTCACAATTTCAGGTAGATTTGTGGTTTATGCCTGTTCATTTATCCTGTGAGAAAAGTGTGTGTGTGTGTGTGTGTGTGCGTGTAAGTCTGTTACCTTCAATACTGAAGATTGACATTAGCTAGACAGTTACATATGCTGGGGGCTTTGCAGATTTTTATTTGTATCACTGACATTTCAAGATGTGAGTTGTAAATCCAATCTGTCTGCGGCTTGGGAGCCTCATGACTGAGGGCGAGGGGTGGATAATGATTCTGTTACATTGATCACAGCAGCACTTCTCTGGAATTGGTTCACCTTAAGTAGAGACTGTCGATATTCATGTTCTGCACCGTGACACTTTGTCCCCGAGGGATGAGGGACGCAGGACGTGTATCCCACGAGTCTACACGGCCTCTCCAGGGCTGTGGGCTACACTGCCGGGTCTGTGCAGACACGATCTACGACCACGCAGTGACCGCACTGCCCAGCGCCGTCCGGCTCAGCGTGTGTCCCTGTCTTTAAACAGCAGGGCGCTGTGCAGTGAAATCTCAGTGAATACTTAAATGGGGCAGAGGTGATAGTTGTTTGACGTTTACGAGGAGGTGGAGGTGGTGTGTAAGTGGGTAGATCTAACTGTTGTGTAACAGCGGCCCCTGTTCTAAAGACTGACGGCCTCCCGATGACCTGCTCCCGCCCTTGGTGCCTTTTAACTTGCAGCCGATGGAGAAGTTCAGACGCATGAATTTGGCTCCATGAAAGGCTGTGTTGCCATTTTTTGTACGAGGAAC